AATTTCATTTTTCCCTTTAGTAGGCTATCTTTTAGAAGCATTTTAAAAAATATGTCTGGTTTGATGTAGTTTAGAGTTGTGACATGTAATTTTCACAAGTAAATTGGGTCAGAGAATTCCTAATTAATAATTTTTTCCCCAAAAACATTAACTCGTTTCCTTTGTGTGTTTATAATCTAGTATTGTGAGTACCAGCAACTAAGACAAAAGGAAGTTTTCTTTTTAAAAATATTATCTAAAAATATGACTTTATTATCTCCTAGTAGTAAATTGACTGTTAAGGCTGTCTAGCCTTAATAATACTTATTAAGAACCTAGTGTGTGAGTGAAGAGTACAGTATATTTAGAAATAACCCCAGTTGGAGGATAAGGGCATTAAGCTCGTTATTCTTGTAAAATACTGTGTGTATCTGTGTGATCAGGAGAGAGGGCAAGAAAGGGAGGGATGGAAGAAAGGAGAGTGGTAGGATAGGGGTGCATATAGTAGTTGCAAGTAACTTGTGGAGTGAAATAAAAAAGACTTAGGACACATCTAAAGACATAAAATACATGTTAGTATCAGTACAGTGTAAAGTTTGGATTATTAGAGATAATGAAATTATGATTGGAAATTATTGGGGTAAATTTAAATGAAGGAGGTTTAAAGTAGTATTTTGAAGAAGCAGGGCAGATCAGCAGAATGTAAATTTGGGCTGAGTTCATAGGCAGATTAATTTCCGTTTAGTAACTGAACCACTTTATTCATAGAAATAATACTTTGCCTCTTTCTGTTGAAGTATATGGGAGTCCATATTGCATTTAGACAATCTGAGAAGCGTAGGCAGGGAAAGAGTTATTTAGGAGATTGGAAAAGATAAGAAGATTGCTGTGCCATAGAAGCTAAGTGATAGCAGTTATCCACATATATAGATTTAAGAATGAGGCCTGAAAAGAGGTCTTTAATGACGGTTTCATTAATGACCTTGTAGAGACCAGTTTCTGTAGAATAGTGATGATAAACAAATTGCAGAGTTGAAGATGGATATTGAAGAAATGGAGAAAGTCACTATATATTATTACTTTTGAGTTATTTTTTGATACAAGTAAAGAAAACATTGTAGCAGGTCAAAGATGATGCTTGAATGGGGTGAGCACTGTTCATAGATTAGGGAAAGAGTCAGAATACAGAGGGAAATTCTGAAGATTCAAGGGAGATATAATCATTGACATAACAAGATTTTTATAGGGAACGGAGGATAGCCCTTGAAAAGGAGGATATATACACCCTCCTTTGAAAATTTCAGAGAACATTCCAAATAAAGAGACTGCTTCAAATGGAGAGTTGAGACCCTATGGACTGTAGCCCGCTGGGCTCCTCTGTCCATGGTGATTCTCCAACAAGCCTACTCGAGTGGGTTGCCATGCCCTCCTCCAAGGGATCTTCCCAAACCAGGGATCGAACCCAGGTCTCCCGCATTGCAGGCAGATTCTTTAGCAACTGAGCCACCAGGGAAGCCCTGAGATTATTTGCATTCAGTAGTTTCCATATTTTCTAGGAAGTAAGGTCATTACAGAATGAGAGAGATGGCATTTAGAGAAGACAGTTTTGAACAGGGTAAAGAAGATGTCTGCTTTTTTGTAAATCATTATCTGTTTGACTTGATAGATGGTCAAGTCAGAAAGAGATGAGTTAATTTCCCAGGGTTACATGAATTATAGTGTAGGTTTTTTTTTTTGGCTTAGTTTCATGATTTAATATACTATTGCTCAGAACAGTTACATGGAAAATAGATTGAATAGCACACTGAGGGTGGAGATTGATAAAATCTGTGCAGTGAAAGAAAAACTAGATGAGAAAAATAGAGACTGACCAAGGGTTATATAGAGGAGACACATGAGTAAGGGTAGAAGGGAACTTGGAGACAGAAAACTGGAGAATGAAGGACTGGAAATGGTAAGTAAAAGGAAGGGGGAAGTTCAGTGGGAGTAGGAAAATTGGAATATTAGCTTAAAATACTAATGACAGAGTAGTTTATTCCTTCAGCAGTATTTGAGTGCCCCCCCCGCCCCGCCCCCCATTTTGCTGGGCACTATTCTTTGCGGTTTCTTAGAAAATGAAGTACCAAGTGGGTACTGTTCAACAGAGTTGCCACTAGATGTCACTGTGACTCACATGGCAAATTTAAACTACTCTCAAGATACAGAGCTTTGAAAGTCAGATATGCATAAATAGGCAATTTTTACAGAGTTTACACAGATTAATTAGTTCTAATCCAGGTACTTTATTGTGCAGCTACATCCAGAGAAAACCTCTTTTAGGACAAAAGCAAACCCTGAAACTTCCATGTGAGGAGTACTGTCTTTGCATTACTGATTCATTTTTATTATGTTCGTCACACTTAAATAGCATTTCTCTTTGTGTGCTGCTCAGTTGCTCAGTTGTGTCTGACACTTTGCGACCCCATGGACTGTCGCTGGGCAGGCTCCTCTGTCTGTGGGGATTCTCCAGGCAAGAATACTGGAGTGGGTTGCTATACCCTCCGCCAGGGGATCTCCCCAACCCAGGGATCAAACCCAGGTTTCCCTCATTGCAGGCGGATTCTTTACCATCTGAGCCACCAGAGAAACCCAAGAGCAGTTAAGTGGGTAGCTTATCCCTTCTCCAGGGGATCTTCCCGACCCAGGAATCGAGCCGGGATTTCCAGCTTTGCAGGCAGGTTCTTTACTGTCTGAGCAACCAAGAAGTATTTCTCTAGTGAGCTTTAAATTTTTCTGAAATCCTGTATTGGATTTTTGCAGATGTTTTCCTTTTCTAATAATAGTTTAGTTGTTTGCCAGATTGGTTGTGGTTTTATAGGGACTAATGAGTTTTCATGAGGACTAATGAAGCTGCTTGTTACTAAGTGCTCAAGATTGTGCATGTCTATACCATACTGTGACTTGAAGTTTTGCTTGTGTGGCCTTTCTGTTCTCAACTCTAAGGAATGGTTAGTATCTATTCAGCTTTTAAAAAAAAATCTCATTCTTGTTCCCTATCCCAGATAGGATCACCAAGTAGTTCTGCTTCTTTATCTTCTTGTTCAAAGAAAGGAGTCATGTTTAGGAAGCTTATCGTACTTCCTGCCTTCCCACAAGGCTTTTCAACTTGGTTCTTTCAAAACCTCTGAACAATTTTGAGCAACTTTGCAATATAATTATTTAACAAGCATGCAAAAAAACAGACAAACTGACAAACCACGTTGACTTTTTCAGAAACATGTAAACAATACCCAGGCACACTATGTATGTTTCAGGATCTATTTATAATCTTATGTTTTCATTTATGTTAATTTTTCTCCATTAGACTGAAGAGCCTGAGGAGAGATTGCTCAATATAAACAATTTGAAAACCATTATAGTAGAAAAAATGTAGAGTCATACTTTATGCATGTGATATGCCTAACAATATAACCCAGTGCTTTTTATATAACTCTTTTTATTGCTGACCCTTAAGTTAGCTTGTAATCTTTTATGATCTTAAATGATTTTTAGCCATGTTTGCAAAAAATCTATATTGTGTCTTAAGTACACTATTTTAAATTTATCTCTTGAATTTCATTGTGTTTATGGACAAAGTCAGTTTCTATTTTAAGGTGATTTTCTGTGGTACTTCCCATTGTAATATTAATACTTTCATTTGGAAAGGTACCTGTTTGCTAGCCTCATCATAATCTATAAACGAGTAGTAATCAGGAGAGCCCTTTGCATCAAGACGCTAGGAACAGAAGCTCTGGCATAGAGTTGGTAAGCTGCAAAGAAGGAAACAAGCATATTATTTGGAATAACTGGAAACAGGCTGAAGTTGCAACTGCAGCTTGCTTTGAGAATTTTATAAAAGACTTTTCCTTGATTGGAAAAATAGTTATTTTTTCATGGGTTCTTAAGACCAGATATTGTCAGGTAATATGTTGGTCTATTAATTGAAGATATCTTCCTTTAATGTTTAAATAAATTTCTTGAAAAAAATTATTTTGCTTTTTAGACAGGTAAACATGAACATTGCACTTACTGAGGTGTACTCGGTAGGATGGTAAACAGGAAAGGAGGTCTGCAAAAACTTCCCAGCAGTTGCGTCATAATTTCACTTTTTCAAAATTGTATGGAACTAAACGACTGAACTGAACTGAATTATGGTTATAACCTCTGTAATAAAAAAAGCATTCAACTATGATGCAACAATGTTCCATTAATGAAATTCTTCTGGGAATTTTCTAGTAGTCACTTTTTAATTCTTAAATTCACTTTCATAATAGTTTTCAAAATGAAACTTTTTTCTGACATTTCTTTGAAGTTTTTCAGTGAAAATATTATATATTCCTTTTAAGGAATATACTCCTCTGTTGTACTGGAAATAATAAGTTTATTTAGATAATGGCCATCTACACTCTAGCTCTAATCCCTAAAGGCCTTAACCTCCATTAGGAACAAGTGTAGATTTTTGTTTGCTTGAAATAGCTTCCTGGACATGTAAAAACTCTTTTGACATCATTATTTAGGGGCTCCCATCCTCCCAGTGGAATCACAGCCTAATACAAAAACTTTGCAGCTGGTGAGCTCCCAAAGCCCCTTTTGATGATTGTTTTTAAGCTCAGCATGGCAGCTTGCAGTTGTTCCTTTCCTGTACTGGTACCCCCGCCTCACCCCACCCCTATGCTCATGGTCTTCTAGGCAGTAAGAATTCTCCAGTGGTAAAATACAGGGCTGAAAATTTCTGATGCCTTTTTCATCCTCTGTTCCTCCTAATTCTTTTTTGTTCTAAACATATCCATAAAGTTTAATGGAGATTATCAAGGGAAAGATATTGTGACCTCTCTCTCTCTCTCTCTCTCTCTCTCTCTCTCTCTTACCCTCTCTGTCTTCTGGGATGCCTTACTCGCTTTAACTCATTTATTAAATTAAAAAATGTCTATATCAACAGGCAATAAGTATCCAGAGGTTACTTATGGGATTCCTTTGCTTTTCAGTTAAGTGTTCGGAATCAGAGATTGAATCTGCAGGTCTAACTATGGCCTAGTTATCAGACCTTGAAGTTTCTTCAGCTCTTATTATGTTCTCTATTTAAAAAAGTAAGTACAGGTAACCCAAGCAAGTGGCAGTTAATGACTTAACTCCCCGATAAACTGGTTGACAAGAAATTGTCTCTAAAACTTTTTTTTTCCTTTGCTTTAACTAGCTTTATCATCTATAGGCTTGTATTGGTAATTTTTAGACAAAAAAAAATCACTCAAGATAACTTATGTTTAGCTCATTGAAATGTAAAGATAGAATATATTTTAATTGATTAAATAGGATATGATTCACACATTATGAAAATATTTTGAAAATACATAACATAGCTGTAGTTGTGTGTATTAGTATCTCAGTCATGTTCAACTCTTTGTGACCCCACAGACAGTAGCCTGCCAGGCTTCTCTGTCCAGCTGTAATTGGGAAGCTCTGAAAAGACATGGATGGAGAAGGCAATGGCACCCCACTCCAGTACTCTTGCCTGGAAAATCCCATGGACGGAGGAGCCTGGTAGGCTGCAATCCATGGGTCGCGAAGAGTCGGCCATGACTGAGCGACTTCACTTACACTTTTCACTTTTATGCTTTGGAGAAGGAAATGGCAACCCACTCCAGTATTCTTGCCTAGAGAATCCCAGAGGTGGGGTTGCACAGAGTCAGACATGACCGAAGTGACTTAGCAGTAGCAAAAAGACATGGAACTGATAGGCAAGTAGTAGTAGTTTAACATTCAACTGATGAATGTTAAAATATTGGGAAAAAGATACAGAGAGAAATATGTTTGATTATTAAGTACTACCTGTGTTTGAATTTAATATAATAAATATTGAACTAAGAAAATAGAAGTAAAGCTAAGTGAAAAATTGTTCCGTGAAAGATCTTTTCAGTTTGGTTCCACATTGGGAATTTGTGCTTTTGTAGTTTATTGATAACATGTATTAAAGTTATGTTCCAGAGTCAGTGCAGATTTTGCTAAATTAATTTTTTGCAGGCCTACATAATGCATTTTTAAATTGAGATATAATTGACATATAACATTGTATTAGTGTCAGGTGTACAACATAATGATTTAATATTTGTATATATTGTGAAATGATCACACAGTAAGTTTAATGCATTGATTTTTGAAAGCTGTTTTCAAGATAAATAAGTACTGTTGATGCTCATTTTATATAATTATTATATGTCTTGAACTCACTAAATCCATTAGTGAGTCCTAAATGAAAGGCATCATTTAGGAAATCCCTAGAAGTGTTAAATAGTAAAATCTCCATTCCTAGTACCAGTGATCAGATGGGCAGGAAAATAGTACCGCAGTAAAATAAATAATCTCTCAATCTCTCATTCTGGAGAGCTGAATACTAGTTATCTGTTGCCACCTATTTTTGCAACCTTGAGCAAATTACCTGTTTTTTGTGTGTGTGTGTGTGTGATATAAGAGGAATTGACCTAGGTAATCTCGAAAATTCGTACATGTGTTAGCATAGTGTGATATTTTAAAATCAATGTTTTTGTTGTCTTATTTTATTATATAGATATGCCCCAAACTTCTGTTTTAGAACTGAAATATTTAATAGGATTATCACAAGAAATTAAAAAACCTCTCCCATTACTTGCAAAGGAAACATTTTTTTGAGAAAATAACAAACATATATTTTTTAATTCATAAGGACTAATATATATAGTTATCACAAATGAGATGCCCACATGGTAACAAGAATAACCATTTCAAAAATTACCATTAAACATAGTGAGGAATATTGGAACTAATACATAGTGGTGTAAAATATAGTAGGTTAAGAGATTCTGTTTCTTTACCAGTAATAATTTTCTAAACTATTTACTAATTTAAAGGTAAATTTTTTATTAGGGTATGAGATACATACAGAAAAGTAAAAGAATTATTAAGAGCACCCCCTATGAATTTTCACAAAGTGAGCATATCATGTAACTATCATCTGTGTAAAAACAGAGATCATTACCAATTCCCTCTACATTTTCACCTCCTATTCCTCTAGTCACTGTCCTCCAGTAAGCTAATAGGATGGCTTCTGCACTGTAGATTTTGTTAGATGCTTTCCTGAAGTTTTTTTCGTTTGTTTTTTACATTTGCACCAGAAGTTTATGAGTTCATTTGTCCTATATCTTCACCAGCACTTGAAATTGTCTTTATTTTTAATTTTAGTCATTCTGCTGGATGTATAGTGACATGACATTGTGTTTTTAATTTGTTTTCCCCTGATGACTACTGAAGTCAAACCCTTTTCTTATGTGTTTGCTATTCATGTGGAGTACTAAAATAATTTTTTGACACTTTATCATAAAATACACTTCCTTACGTTAAGAAGAGGCATTGTAAATTAGATATTATATAAAACATTTGGCATAATCCCTTCTTCTATCTCTAGTTGATAAATTGTGAAATGCTTTGAAATCTTTTCTTACTTAATAAAACATTGTATTTCAAACCATAAAACTAATTTCAAATGCTTATCTTTTAAGTGTTCTTAAGACTAGTTATTAATAGTATTTTTTGGAAAAAAACTTATCAAAATGAAGCAGTTTAAACAAACACTTAGACCTGTTTTTTTTTTTTAAACACCAGAAGAAAAATAACTAGACTTTGTAGATAGTGTAATTTAAAGTTGATCTATCTAACTAATTTTAGTTTTAGTGGCCAGTTACAACCTGATATTCTAACACAGAAAGTTTGGAATTTCTCTGAGCAGGACTTTAGAGGTGCATGTCTGAGGTAGAGACCAACTTTTCCACGGGCTTCTACATTTCCTACCTTTCTGTGTAGTTGTATTGGACACACATGGTTTGTTTCTGGTCAGTGGACTGTGTGGAACGATATTCTGTGTCACTTCTGGGCTGAGGCAGTGAGCCTCCTCCCTTGATCCTTTCTCTCACGCTCTGGTGAGTTTGAAGGCTGCCTACTCTAGAGTCTCTGTCATAAGCCAGCCAGCTCTTGTTTGTTGTAGCAGTCAGTATTAAGTAACCTAATACAATTTCAATTCAGTAAGCGATGCATTGAATAAATATGCTCAGAAGCCCCTGAATTGTTTTTATGTTCATGGTTTTTGTCAATAGAATGATGTCTTCCTTAAATAGTACAGAGAATATGTTTATGCAGAGGAATAGATTTCTGATGGGAAAATAAAAAAGACCAAAAAGTTTGTTTTTGTTTTTCTATCCCATCAAATGAGAAGAAAACATAAAGACTGATGTTTGTTTCTGATTGTCGGAGTCATATTTATCATTTACATGGAATCCCATTCTTTCTGTGTGGTTTTATCTAGTTTTATTTATTTTTTTTTCCGATTTAGGAAGGTGACAGTTCTCACAAAAGGTATATGTCAGAGTATATTGAAAGATTATGAAAGAAATATTGTAGTCTTTTGCTGAACATCGGGAATACAAAGAAGCATCCTAATTGAGATAAAAAAAATACATTATTTAGGAAAGTAAGTCCTTTTTAGCTCCTTCTGTTATTTAAAACTTTTTTACATGAAAGTGATTTCTTTGAAGAGCTCTGATTTATTTCTTACTCTTTTGTTTTAACAAGAATTTCCAACAACCCAAAATAAGCCTGAGTAATAGGTAAAGAAGTATTTTATATACCATCATGTGTTTGCTAATCTTCTTGTATTAAATTACTTAAGCAACTTTAGTAGAAAACTTCAGAAATGTGAGATGTGTAGTACCAGGGGAAGTATCTTAAATTGGACAAAATTGGTTAAGAAATTGAAATGAATAAGGAGCATGTGATAAAAATATGTAGCACTCATATTGGACTATTTAAATATCTTATTTGTGATTATTATTGGACTATGTTGGTGGCTCATCCTTATGGCAGAAAGTGAAGAGGAACTAAAGAGCCTCTTGATGAAAGTGAAAGAGAAAACTGGAAAAGTTGGCTTAAAACTCAACATTCAGAAAACTAAGATCATGGCATCCGGTCCCATCACTTCATGGCTAATACATGGGGAAACAATGGAAACAGTGACAGACTTTATATTTTTGGGCTCCAAGATCACTGCAGATGGTGACTGCAGCCATGAAATTAAAAGACACTTGCTCCTTGGAAGAAAAGCTATGATAAACCTAGACAGTGTATTAAAAAGCAGAGACATTACTTTGCCAACAAAGGTCCGTCTAGTCAAGGCTATGGTTTTTCCAGTAGTCATATATGGATGTGAGAGTTGAAATATAAAGAAAGTTGAGTGCTGAAGAATAGATGCTTTTGAACTGTGGTGTTGGAGAAGACTGTTGAGAGTACCTTGGACTGCAAGGAAATCCAACCAGTCCATCCTAAAGGAAATCAGTTCTGAATATTCATTGGAAGGACTGATGCTACAGCTGAAACTCCCAATACTTTGGCCACCTGATGCGAAGAACTGACTCATTGGAAAAGCCCCTGATGCTGGGAAATATTGAAGGTGTGAGAAGGGAATGACAGAGGATAAGATGATTGAATGGCATCACCAACTCAATGAACATGAGTTTGAGCAAGCTCCAGAAGTTGGTGATGGACAGGGAAGCCTGATCTGCTGCAGTCCATGGAGTCACAAAGAGTCAGACATGACTGAGTGACTGAACTGATGTTGGTGGCCCAGTGGTAAAGAATCCAGCTGCCAAACAGGAGACATGATATCTCTGGGTTGGGAAAATCCCATGGAGAAGAAAATGACAACCCCCACTCTAGTATTCCTGCCTGGAAAATCACATGGACACAGAAGCCTGGCAGGCTACAGTCCATGGGGTTGTGAAGAGTCGGACATGACTGAGTAAACAGCGAGAACAACACAATGTTCTATAAACTTATAAGAAAGTGAAAGTGAAAGTTGCTCAGTGTGCACAGCTCTTTGTGCCCTGTGGGGTATACAGTCCATGGAATTCTCCTCACCAGAATACTGGAGTGGGTAGCCTTTCCCTTCTCCAGGGGATCTTCCCAACCCAGGAATCGAACCCAGGTGTCCTGCATTGCAGGCAGATTCTTCACCCGCTGAGCCATGAGGGAAGCCCAAACTTGGGAAAATATTAATTTCCTCTGTTTA